TGGCAAACCGGATCATCTCTCCATTCTGCTCCTGCCCAATTTTTTTACCAATCGGATTCTGTGCTGCAGGACTGTTCTGAAGACGCAGACTGGGAGATGTTACGCGAGGCGTCAAACAACAACATTAACGAATATGCAGACTCTCAGTGTGTCCCAATTCAAGGGCTGGATCCTTCGAAGGACGCGGTCTACGAAGGCGTGTCCTTCAAAGAATGCTTAGATCCGTGAAGGCTGAACCGAAATGAGACGGTCTGCCCTACGGCGGATTTGCGTCACAGAACCGCTGTTCCCGCCCTTACCGTTGCGCCACCAAACGCCGCTCTTGTCAAGTTCTTTTAAAATTCTTTAAAGATGGAGCCAGAAACGTTTTAGTTGTTTATTTTTTTTTCATGTATTAGAGCTGGACATGCTTTACCGCTGGTTACTGATGAGATTGTTTTTTTTTGTTGGGGAGGAGGCGCCTGTCATGGAGGCAAGTGCAAGCGAACTTTAACGTGCTCCGCTCAAAACATTGCTTTTTTCGCCCCTGTCTAAACCGTTTATATGTGGTCGTTTTACGGCGTTCAGTCTACCTAATAAGCTATGTAGGTCGAAAAACAACTTTTATTAAAAAAGAAAGCAACATTGAGCAAACCTGAAGGCAAAAGAGATCGGAAGCAAACTGAAGCACTCACAGACCATGGCTACACTGCCGAGAGAACAGGAGCAAAACACTCGTCCTGGTGTCGGGACCAAGAGCTATTTTCTTCCTTGGCCAAAGCCCCGCCATATGATGGTTTTTAAAATCTAAACTATTCTGTGCTGTGGTTTTGTTCTAATTATTGTCTTAATCACTTACAAAAAATAAACAAAAATAAAAAGGATATTCAATCAAAAATAAAAGAAAGTAGAATAAAAGACTTCAGCCGCTGAGTTCTTGTGGAAGGGAGAAAAGGCTTCTTTTTTATTTCAGCATCAGGTGCCACAGGGTCTCGAGAGACCCCAACTGCGCAAATACCGTGTTCCAAACAACAGTTTATATACCATTTATCTGGGGTAATGTGATATCCCCCCGCCTTTCTTCTCAAATTTTGATATTAGCTCATTCTTTAATAGGTGCATCTCTTCGTCCATCAATTTGGCCATCGCATGATGAACTCACTCCTCAAAACTGGCTTCAACAGGTTTTTACCAGCCTGCTCTACCTTTCAAGGTCAACTTGCCCCTCTCTTCACTGGGTCAGTAGGTACACACAGGCCTCTCTGTGAACCCAGCTGCTTTCCAGTGTCTAGAATATCCTATGCAGACAGTCTAAGGCCTACCCTTTGTGAGAAAATTAATATTCTCTGTTAGGCAATACTTGCTATTTGGTTATTGATTACAACATCTAATCTATTTGATTACTGATCAAGGGAATATTTATTCAAAATCTCAATCACTGGGACAATAATATGGACTGTGATGGAGATATCCTTGAGGACGAAACAATAAGGACATCACTATTCAGTATATGGCTCCTGACACGCCAACAAAGAGCCCTGCTTCATTCCGTTAGCTTCAATCAAACATTATCGATTAATTATGAAAAACCAACGAAAGAGCCGATACTCTGGAACAGATGGTGAGAAATAACTCGACTTGCATAGAAGAGCTGAAGACATTGCTGAACTTTGCTTTTTCTGAGATTCAAGACAAAAAAGAAAACAACACCCTGTCCAAGAAATGTGCAGAGCAAGAGAAAATGATCTCTGAATTGAACAACAGACTCAAGCAGAGCGGTACCGTCGTTGCTGGGGGGCTTCACTGCGAAAGTTGAAAACCCTTGGATACTCTACATATGCACCTCTGGACAGCAGCCACTACTGTCACTTTATGGACATCTAATACTGAAAACGGCCGAACTAAAAAGTTCATCCAGACAGTTAGCACACTAAAAATGGTGACTCGTTCTCTGTTGTGAGTAAAATATCGTTACAACTGTTCTTAGAGACAAAAAAAAGTATAGTTTTGAAATATTTACGTGAAAAGTTAAATCTCCGTTGTTTCACTACGGATTTAAAATTGATTTGGGTTAAAGCTAGAGGATTACGAGACTTAGTTAAGAGGAAAGCTTTCTTCATTTCTGCAAAGACAGTGACGTAGATTTTCATTTTTAGACTCACTCTTGTATGGATGATAGTTCTTTCTGGAGAAATCAATGGGGAGAAAAGTTATGGTTAGCACATGGTAATAATCACTCAGCAGGGGTCGCTATTTTATCACACAAATTTAGAGGTAGCTTCTGTTTCACAAAAGGAGATATGAATGGACACTGGATAATACTTGTGACTGAAACAGCAGAACTTCAGGTAATACTATGCAACATCTATAGATACTGCTCCAAAACTATGAATGTCACGCTACTGGAGGAAATTGAAGACAATCAAAAATCAAGCCAAGGAAAAAAAAGCCAAAATCATTAAATTACTGAATGAAATATAAAATCTAAGTACTCATCCTGAAAACACTGAAAACTATTGTACACTCTCTGACCTACAAAAACAACTGGATCAAATTTATGAAGATAAGGCACATGGGGCTTTTGTGAGGTCAAGAAGACAGTGGATGGAGAAAAGAATAGTAAATATTTTTTCAGTCTTGAAAAAACGAGAGGTGAACTTAATGCCCAATGATGAAAACCCAATGATAATTTTAAAAAGAATCGCAAATTTTATTACTGACTACTATAGAAAATTGTTTGCAGATTACTTTTTTATGCTGTTAACAAAAAAGAAAAAGGTTACAGATGTCTTTAAGAACTTATGTTCCCAAAAATTACACATAGATGAAATTAAAGAAGCAATAAAAAGCCTGAAAAATAATAAATCACCTGGATGTGATGGTCTGACTTTTGAATTTTATAAGGAATTTATAAACCTCATACCTCATTTTCTGCTTGCAACATATGAAGAAGATCTTGAAAAAGACCAACTACCCCTTCATTAAAACAGGGCATTATAACATTAATTCCTAAGTCAAGCAAAGACCCCCTGCTTCTTGATAACTGGCGTCCAATAACGTTGTTAAACAACGATTACAAAGTTCTGGCTATTGTTTTAGCAAAAAGGCTAAAATATGGAATTAATGAGCTCATTGATGAATGCCAATCGGGTTTTCTGAAGGATCGTCATATTTCGAATAACATTAGACTTGTATTGGATCTGGTAGAATACAAAGACTCGCCTGCTGGCAACTCCCGATTCTTTTCTTAGATCTCCAAAAAGCTTTCGACAGCATTGGTCATACATTCATCTGGGAAACTTTGAAATTCTTTCATTTTGATTCCTTTTTCATTAGGGCTATAAAAAAACGTTATATACAGGAGGGAACAGCTCAATTAAGCTTCTCCAGGGAACCACACCAAGATTTTATATAAACCGAAGTGTTCATCAAAGTTGCCCCTTAGCACCTTTACTATTTCTGTTAACAACTCAGATTCTAAGCATGTTGATTAACCAAAGTCAGTTCAGAGGAATAACAATTAATCAGAAAGAAATAAAAGTCTGACAACTGGCTGATGACACCACTGTCTTTCTTGAAAATGCAAATGAAATTCCCAAGGCTTTAGATACAATAACCAAATTCTCCAGCGTATCAGGACTGAAATTAAATGTGAATACGTGTGAAATACTGTCTTTAAAGTTATGCAATCACACCAAAATCTGTGAAATTGTGTAGCCCTCTTGATAGATTATTATTTAATTTCATTTGGAAGAACAAGCCTCACAAAATTAAAAAAAGAAGTTATAAAAATAAAGGATGGTGGACTGAATGTACTGGACTTTACAACATTTAATCAAATAATTAAAGTAAATTGGATTAAAAGATACTTAAAAAATCCTCATAGCCAATGGAATATTCTACCCAATTTTTTATTTCAAAAACTTGGTGGTCTGAACTTCTTGCTGCAGTGTTCTTATGCGATAGGGAAATTACCAATCGAACCAGCTAACTTCCATAAGCAGTCACTACTCTTCTGGTCTCTTATCTACAATGGAATTAATATAAATGAAGAACGATTTAATAATAGATTTCTTAGAGATTTATACATCCCAAGAAGTACTCCCATGGTACTGGCTCAGTGGGCATCAAAATGTGTTATTGATTGGAACATAAATATGACATATAACATAACAAATATGTATTAAATAACAAAGCCAAAGAAGTAACATACAAAATCCTTCATAAATATTACCCCTGCAACAGTATAGTCTTAATGCAATGAAGGATATATTAAGAATAGATATATTTTATATTTTCTTTTATTATAAAGACTCCAATAAGGACATTTGTTACTTGCTTAATCTGTTCATTCTACTTGGTAAATACTTCATTCATAAAATGAAATTTACATATATGTATTGTAAAAGAACAGCTAAACTAATGAACGTAAATTCAACTTTGTTTAAAGATTTGTTCTACTACCTCATGCAAGATGTGATATCTGCCTTTCGGTTTATGAATGTACTTTATATATATATATATATATATATATATATATATATATATATATATATATATATATATATCATTATTATTTTTTATTATTTTTATATACTTTATTTTTTCTCATTGTGAACTACTGTTATACTGAAACCCTGTCTCTGATAATTACTTATTCCTCTAGCAATACAAAAAATACAAAGTTATAGTGTGAACAAAAAATATTAAAATAAATGTAAAGTGTACAAATAATAATAAAAAAGGAGCCTTCGAAATGGGAGTTCGTGTTTATCCCAATCAGAAAGGATGGCTCAACTGTGAAGTCCATGCAGTTCTAAACGCACGTACTGCTGCTTTTAAATCAGGAAACACGGATGTAAAAAAAAAAGCCAGCTATGCGCTCCGTAAGACCATAAGAGCAGCGCGAGTACAGGTGTAATGTCCCATAGACTTTATGTGTTTAGTACTTTACGCTTGTAAATTGGCGCCACCTAGTGACAATGTTCTATATGTAACTTAAATAATGTGACTTGTCCTTGGTTGATGATGTCATCAGTATGAGTCTCGTTTGTGCAGTTATCAATGGAAGCATGGCTATCTTCTTTAAACATCTACATTTTGGCTTTAGATGGTATTGTCGGTATGTAAGCAGTTTCTTCTACTGTATATTTCTCTCTGTTGACAAGCATTTGTTGCACTCCGCTATGTTTCCAGACTTAAACTGTGACAGAGAATTATGTTGATTTTCTTTCTCAGTTTTACCCTACTCCAAGTGCCTTCAGTAAACAGAGATATACTGGAATCTCTTGTTGGTGTGGTTATTGGAGAGGAGTTTAGCTGCCTGTCAAGCTAAGCAAGGTGCTTCATTTGAGGACAGGACAACAGGGCTAAAGTGGACTCACAGTTTAACACCACCAATGCGAGAAGCCTGTGGGAGGAGTTAAACACAATAACAGACTTTGAGAGGGAAACTAGTTCTGTGAATAACATCAGCGCTGCGCTTCCAGACGAGCTGAAAACTTTCTACGCCTGTTTCGAGGCAAATCACACCACGCTCACGGAAAGAGTCCCCACCCCCTCTACCGCCGATTCAAATGCTTTGAGAAGCTGGTCAGAGACTTTATCTAATCCTTACTACACCTGGTACAAAATGTGTTGCAAGTGCAAGTGGTTCAAAGACCTATATTTTTCCTCATAATGCCACTTTTCTTAAAGATTCTTGATATCAATAAAGTGCCAGTGCAAAACTGTATTACTGAGCAATACTACTTGTGCTGATTTTGTCTATTTACCTAGTTCAAAATGTGGTGCTAGTGGTTCAGAGACCTATTTTCCTTCATAATGCCAGTTTTCTTATAGATTAATTCTTCCTAAGTAAGATTGTTAATAAAGTAACAGCAAAACAGTATTTCTCAGCCACACCAGTTGAGAGTATGGGCATTAGTCAAACAGTCAGAGAACAGTCTGCTGTTTTTCTTCTATTCTGATATAAAATATGGTGCCAGTGCTCCAAGGCCTACATTTTCAAAATATTACTTTTTTTTTAAAGAACGATGTGTTCTGAATAATATCATATTAATGAAGGCTGAAAACTATATTTCCTAAGCACAACGGTTTAAGTAAAATGCCTTCTTCCAAAACATCAGAAACCTTTTTGGTCTAATATAAACTAAAATTGTATCCATGCAAAAAAAATAAATAAATAAATAAAAAAACAGCTTTACTAAAATGCTTTCATTCTTCAAAATCTTGCTTAAGGCTCGAACCAAACAGATCAAGTCTGCAGTAATCAGTTGTATTTGTAAATTTGTAAATGTAGTAATTTAGCAAGTAATGTAGCAAGCTAATCAATAATGTAGCTTATAAGAACAGTAACAGTACAGTACCACTTTACAGTGTCTTACCTAACGTTTTCAACCTTGAATATGTATTATTTTACCACAATCAATGATCACGCTCCCTTATTAAAATGCAGATATATTCATATACAGCTTTACTGATTGGATGTAAGACGTCAAAACGTGTAAACGTAATTTTTTACCGCCTGCACACTTGCATTTTTACGTGTGGACGCGTGATATTTTCATTCGTGCAGGCGATTGCTCATTAGGCGTTTTGGCTCTATTAGGCTTGTTCGAGATGAACTGCGCCTCGCCTTGGTGGTCAGCGAGAGCAGCCGGTTGCAGTTGGCGGAGGAAGGTAGAGCCGTCAAGTCGGACAGTCGCCACATGAAACCCACGTGAGCTGGCGGATCTCGAGGAGTTTCCGTTCTTCGTAGCTGATGATATGGATGCAGTAGAAATCCCTCTGTTATATGCATGAAATCGAGTATGATGAACAACGAAGGTGAAACAGAAAAAAAAAACGTCGTTATAAATCATAAAAGCATTTCAGAGTGCTTCATAAAAATAAAATAAGAAGACCAAAACCATTAAAGGTTCTAGAAAATTATCAAGATAAAAAATTAGATATGTTAGTTTGAAGAAATATCAGGCACTAGAGTCTTTTCACGACACGAAATGATAATTATGACATTAAATACGTTGAATACTGCACCGAAATAAACTGTCATGCTACTAGAGAGCCTGATAGTATTAGCGTAAATATAGAGTCTTTAAGAGCTACAGCGGAGATTTACATTTTAGAAAAAAAAGTTTCATTTTAGAATAAAACGAAACACACATCACAGGTGTCAGCGGAGCTTCTAGCCAATGAGGATTAAGCACTCGTCATCAAGCCATCTCTCAGCTCGCGCAGCTCGTGGGAAGCAACTGCAGCGACTGGCTCTGAAGCCTGCAGCCGCCTCGCACTCGCGAGATTTTAACGCCGTATGTCATCGTGACGCGCCGATGGCGCCGACGCAAGTCGGACAAAAAAACTAACCGGCATGCAACGTACCGAGCCAGGCGGCGATCCGTCTGCGCAGCGCCGGGTTAAGTCGAACACGCCTATTAGCTTTCCATACATGTCTGCAGCCAGACCCTTCTCCATATAGCCTTTTAACACGCGGCATGACGATCAAACTGATCGAATCATGTGTTTCTATGAATGCAAACTACCGCAATAGCTATAGCCTATTATAAGTGATTATGTTTGGGTTGTATAATAAAATTGTTTTAAACAAATCACGTCAAGAATACTTATATAGATTTAACCTAAGCACTGGCTTCTTCATCATATCCAACCGAACTTAAGAAAAATATATTACTCATGTCTTAAGAAAAATTAATAGGACACTCAAACATTGGTGTCAGTTATAGTCTTATTGTTACTGCATCAATAAGTAGATATTTTGACATATACTTAAAGACATGCAGACGTCTATTTGTTGCCTGCAATTTATATTGATTCTGCATAACCATTAAAACAGTGGCATTTAAGATCTGATGCAATAATTCGCCTATTATTTATTTAGCATTGTTTAATCTTTCTGTAATATGTGTTACCAACAGCAATTAGATTTCAAAAAAGAAAATAGATTTAATTTAGGCTAATCGATCAGGATGTATACCAAGACATATAATGAAACATGTCACACTACAGGCCACAAATATGATCAAACTTATAATAATAAGGGTAATATTCTAATATTTAGGCAAATATACTAAGATACTAAAATTCTAAGATACTAAAGTTCATTGCGCTAGGTTCTATTTAAAAACATGGTTGGTAAAAAATAATTATGAGGAACACCAACATTTGAACCAAAAAACAAAAAATAGCTGAGCTTGCACGCATTTTGTAGAACCAGACAAATAGAGGATAGATTGAATTTGGGCAAACTACATTTTCTGTTTATAATGACTAGTTTAAGCCACACGGCTTTATGAAATAAAATTGAAACAAGTCAGCATATCGGTCTGGACTGGGAAGTTTGATGGCTGGGATGTGGCCTTCGGATGAAAAAGCTAAAAAATAATCATATAAATGTCTATTAACCTACACTAAGCTTTCCAGAAGTCTCTGTGTCTCTGGTTGAAAGGATGCCCAGGAACTTAAGAAGATCGCAGTACGCGGGTAATTGCTAGATGTAAACGGAACGTTGTTCATTAATACTAAACTATTTTTCTTATTCATCTAATTTTAATTGTACTCCCAGTAAAGGTCGCCTAACATTTGAATTCCCCTTATCAACGACTAGGAATTTTCAATGACCAAAATGACTTTTTCTCACTCACTTGAAGACACGAAACGGGCTACAGTCAAATATAATCCTGAATATTTTGTTCCATTTACAAGAAAATCACAGGAATTGCAGCTAAACAGCATGTCAGCGCGCCTGAAAAGTGCGTGCAGCAAACTAGTCATTTACCGGGGGAAAAAAACTCAAGTCAACAGTCCACTCCATTAGTGTGGATCACTAATTTTTACTTTTGATTCTATTCAGTGGACTCCATTTATAGATCCTAGAGCAGCATACTGACATGACAGTGTTTTTTTCATTGATATACTATTCCATGCTGAAGATAGATAGATAGATAGATAGATAGATAGATAGATAGATAGATAGATGTGAGCATTAATAATTCAATGTTCTGAGGAATTAGATGTTCTGAGGAAGTTCAACCTGCCCCAGGAGCTGATGGTGCATTTCTACACAGCCATCATAGAGTATGTCCATCACAGTGTGGGGTAGCTCAGCCACCAAGCATGACCTCCACAGACTGCAGCGCATCATCAGGTCTGCAGAGAGGACAATTGGGGTTAAGTTGCCCGCATTGCTGGAACTGCATGCCTCCAGAACCAGGAAGTGTGCAGAGAAGATCTCCACTGACTTGTCACACCCCGGACAGCACCTGTTCCAGCTCCTTCCCTCAGGCCGGTGCTTCAGCCAGATGAGGATCAGGACCTCCAGGCTACAAAGGAGCTTCTTCCCACAAGCCATTACGCTCTTGAACAGTTAAAATATTCCAGCTTCTAAACTGCACTTCTAAAATACTGGTATATAGTAACACACTCAACTCCATCCTCTGATACTACCGTCACAGACCAGTGTTTATTCTAGCATCTTACTTACCTGCCATATTACCCCACTTATCTGACCGTCACCTCATTGATCCCTTTCTTTGCCACTATACACCCTTTAACTGCTGCTGCACTTAGCACCTTAACTTTAGATCCATACTTTGCACAATGTAAAGGTTACAGGTATGACTGTGTGTGTGTGTGTATGAGTGAGTGATGGTAGGAATGCATGTTTTATTTATTTTTTTTGTATTTTATTTTATTGTACTTTATTTTATTTTATATTTATTTTTATTTTATATTTATTTTATTTTATATTTATTATATTTATATATATTATTATTCCTTGTATATGTAAGCATACCTGGCCAATAAAGCTTGATTCTGATTCTAATGTGGCACAATATATATGAGTATGTTTAAATGTTGATACTTTTTTGAGTTTTTGAAAAATACTAAACTTTTCTTTTGGCTCTATACATCCAATTTTAACAACATCAGTATATTTTGACAACATACTCAAACTTTAACTTATATATAGTATGTATAATGTCTCCCTACTTTTCCCACTCCCATCTTCATACTGCTGTTAATCTGCTTTTTGATTGTGTAGATCCTGAAATAGAGGTGGAAGCTGGCGGTTCATATGGAAATAGATGGGTTTTAATAGATTTATTGTGAACTTATCAATGCCAGTAACCATGCAGAAACTTCAACAGTTTTCTTGCTGCTGTAGAGCAAAATGGCTTGCCATCACTAGTTTAATCAGACAGTGGTAGAGAAAATATGTCAAAGCTACTACATCTCGTGACTGCAGATATGGCATGCAATAAAACAGGACTTTGACTAGACCACTGTAGGCCATTAAGTCACTCCAATGTTGTGTTTGGGCTCACTGTCCAGCTAAAAGGTTAACTTTCTCCCAAGCTTCATTTTATCAGCACATCTTCCCTTTTTCTTCAGTTTTAACAAGATATCCTCTCACTACTGAAAAGCCACATTCAGCATATGTTTATTATTAGGACAGGTAACTCCCTTGGCTAGCTATCTAAGAGGGCACCTGCAAGCTGCAGATCTTCTGGAAAAAATGGTAGCATGCTCTAGTCATGCTAAATATAAACATAAAACAATACGGCATACCTCAGAGCTGCAGTGCTAGGTGAGCAAGTAAGGCCAAGTTTGCATGCTAGAATGCATGCAAACTAGAATGCTATCTTCCAGTGCAAAGGAAACTGTGCCAAGGAAACTGTTGCTATTGCAAACACAACTTTGACCATAAGGTCAATATGCTGCTCACTTTAAGTCAACGTGAATCAGAAATCATACCGCATTTTTCTTCTTTCTTCCGTACTGTGACATAACACTGGTGCATGGGCATGTAATCAAAACACAGATGTTTCAAAGCATACTAAAGTCATTACAATTCCATTAAAATATTATGGGAAAACAAGAATGTTGTCTTTTAAATAGTATGGTATAATAAATTGTGCTTGATATGACCAGGGACATGACCTAACAAGGTAAAAAAAAAAGAAAGATGTCAGAAAAGTTTAATTTATGTATAGATTTTACATTTTCTTTATTTAATTATAAGTAATTACTTTTTCCTATATAATAGTGAAATTGAAACACAGTACCATGCACTGTTTTTATTCTGGGTATTAATATACAATTAAAGGCTAAATTCTATTTATCTCTATTAGTTATTTAATGTTGATTTTTCGATCACACACCCCATAGATACTGGAAGTCCATCTCAGGAACAACCTGTAATGAGAAAATTGAAAATTTCATTAAGTCATGACCAAAATGTCAAGTGTCAGGAAATATCTTTAAAGTTTTTTTTTTTGAAAAAAGTTTTGAAATCAGTTTTCACTTCCCTCTAGCCACAGAAGTAGAATGCAAACTGCTCTATAAAAAATTAAGTAAGTAAGTAAATTTTATTTATATAGCACATTTAAAACCAAAGTACTTTACAATAAAACACAAAAAGGATTCCTACCTTCCAAACACCACTACCATACATTCACACAAGTGTACAGACCTCAGTCCACAGTTCAACAGCTGCTGAATGCTAATCAATAAAAATGTGTTTTAAGCTTTGTTATAAAACAGTCATAGATGAAGCATGCCTGATGTCACTTGGAAGACCATTCCAAAGTCTTGGTGCAGTGACAGCAAAAGCACGATCAACTTACAGTGTCGAATGCAGCGCTCAAGTCCAGCAAGACCAGGACAGAACAGTCACCAGAATCAGCATTAAGTAAAAGATTGTTAGTGACTTTTAAAAGAGCAGACTCAGTACTGTGAAATGCCCTAAACCCTGATTGAAAAATTTTGTTGTTGTCTGAAAAAGATTCAAGTTGAGTAAAAACAACCTTTTCAATAACTTTAGCCAAAAATGATAGTTTTGATATAGGCCGGTAATTACTCAGAACCCCTACATCCAGATTATGCTTTTTTAGGAGGGGCTTAACAACTGCATGCTTAAAACACGCAGGAACTGCACCAGATGCTAAACTTACATTTATAATTGATAAAACATCAGGTCCAATTGTGTCAAAAACTTCCATAGCAGACGTGGAGCACTTCATGTGAGAAACAATGTCAGATAACTGTGCAAAGGAAACCAGTTCGAATTTCTCAAATGGTGGAATACCTGGCTGAAAGGCAAAGGGCCTAGTCACAGAAATTGAGATATTAGACCTAACATTTTCAACCTTGGCCACAAAGAAATCCAGAAAAGCATTAAAGTTATTTAGAGATGCTTCTGGGCCATGGCATGGAAGAGGATTTAGTACTGAATTTATTGTATTAAACAGGTATTTTGGCTTATGCTTTTTTTGAGATAATTTCTGAAAAGTATTCTGTTTTTGCAGATCTGAAACCTAATCAAACATGATTTGAGAATCTCAAATGATACTTGCAGCCTATCCTTCTTCCATTTGCGCTCAGCTATTCTACACTCTTTCCTAGCCGTCCTAATAGTATCATTCAGCCAAGGTTGAGATTTAAACCTAGGATGTCTAACTCTCAGAGGGGCAACTGAATCCAGCACAGTTCTACAGTGAGATTGAAAGGAAGCAGTTAGGTCTTCAATACCCAAGTGAAGATCACTAGACAAAAAATAATTTGTATAAGCAAGTGCAAACTGAGTAGCTGTAGTGGGGCCTAACTTTCTAGAAGGTTGTTCTGAAGTTCTAATAGCCATAGGATGTGAAGCTTTCAGTGAACTGAACATAACAGGCATGTGGTCTGAAAATGCAGCTTCAAAAATTGTCACATTGTCTACATTAAAACCATGAGATAATATAAGATCAAGAGTATGCCCATGCTCATGAGTAGGGCCATTTACATGCTGAGTAAAGTCAAATGAATCCAGCAAATGGTTCAATTCACTGACCATAGGCTTATAGGGGCAACATATGTGAATGTTAAAGTCCCCCAGAATCAATATCCGGTCTGACATCACAGTTACTACAGATAAAAGGTCAGAGAATTCCTTAATAAAGTCCTTATTTGTTTTAGGTGGCCTGTAGATAAGAACACAGAGCTGGGGATCCATGGATTCAACTTTAAAAAGAAGTGATTCAAAACTAGAATACACATGCGAGCGACAGAGAGCATGTCACTGCGAGCGACAGAGAGCAGCACACCTTAGAACTTCAGATCGAGCAGCGTCCAAACTTTACTTGAAAATTAGTTGAAAATTCTGCAGTTAGCAGGCCGCTAACCCCCTCATGCCTCTCCCTCTTATTTTGTCTTCTCCCTCTCTTTTTCTCTATCTATCTCTCAGTTATTCCCTCAGCCCATCCACCATGGCGTCCGCCCAGAAACGCGCCCTCCAGACTCTGAGCGTAGAGTTGGCCCGGCTGGACCGGCAGATCACCGTCCTACTGAAGAAGCAGGACGAGCTCCTTCGGCAGAAGTCGATGCTCGAAGCCACCCGGGAAGTTTACCCCTCGGTGGTGGCGCCAGCGTCGTCTTTCCGCACGCCGGGAGACACCGTTCTCACGCCAGCCCCGCATGGTCCCTGGGAACGCCAGCGCCGCAGAGGGCCCTGCAGACCCTCACCGCCGCCCCAGCCGATCTTCACCTCCGGCAACCGTTTCGCCGTCCTTTGTTCACCGCCTACGCCCTCACCTACGTCCCGGGCCTCCTCGCCGCCGCCCGCCCCAGCGCCCCGGACCTCGTCACCCGCCCCGGCGCCCCGGCGCTCTACACAGGACTCTGTTTACGTTATTGGTAGTTCCATTGTCCGCCACGTTCAAGTAAAGGTTAAAAACACCCATGCCACTGTTTCTTGTTTTCCAGGTGCTCGTGTCTTAGACATAGCCAGGCGCCTCCCCTCGGCTCTCAGACGAAACGCCTTCGGGACCGTGGTGATCCATGTCGGGACCAACGACATCCTCGACCGGCCAAGTGAGGTCCTGAAGGAGCACTACCAGACGCTGCTGGACACCGCCAGGAAGAAGACGGACGCCAGGATCGTCATCTCCGGACCGCTACCCACCTACAGGAGGGGATCCGAGCGGTTCAGCAGGCTCTTCGCGCTGCAGTCCTGGCTCCGCGGCTGGTGCGCCCTCAACGGCTTGGCCTACGTGGACAACTGGGCCTCGTTTTGGGAACAGCCAGCGCTCTTCCGGAGGGACGGCCTCCACCCCAGTCGCCTGGGATCCATAGTTCTCTCACGGAACATTGAGAGGGCCATCCGCTGACTCCAGAGCGAAGGCCACGTAAGTAGCGGCAAAGATAGAAACGCCACAGCTCATTATGATAGTGCTACTGCTGAAGATTATGCGATTGCTAGCTTTTATACTGTAAATAGGGTAACAAATGCTCATTCTATAAATATAAATGCTCATAGGTTTCTCCCAATAGAGACAGTGTCTGTTCCCCGAATAAAACAAAGCATCAAAAAGCCTCGAAAAGTTTGCTTCAGTAACTTGATTAATATCAGACCAGTTATACCAGTTTGCAGTGACAGCACCTTTGGTCTAAAACTAGGACTGCTTAATATAAGATCCCTTACTCCTAAAGCTGTCGTTGTTAATGAAATTATTACCGATCACAGCTTTGATGCTCTGTGCCTCACAGAAACGTGGATTAGACCCGATGACTACTTTAGTCTAAACGAAGCCACACCCCCAGGCTACAGCTATGCACATAGCCCTCGTTTAAGCGGCCGAGATGGAGGTATAGCAACCATCCATACTAAAGCTTTAGGCGTGAGGCAGAAAGTAGGCTATACATTCTCTTCTATTGAAGGTCTTTTTCTTAATATAAGTGATCAAGGAACACATAAAAATTCCTTTACACTAATTACAGTCTACAGGCCACCAGGGCCGTATTCTCAGTTCTTACAGGAATTCTCTGAGTTTCTATCAAGTCTAATAACGCTTTCAAATAAAATAATAGTTGTCGGAGATTTTAATATCCATTTAGACAATCCCCAAGATGCACTAAGCAAGGCATTTATATCTATCATAGACTCCATAGGTTTCACCCAAATCATAAAGGGGCCCACACACTACCACAACCACACTCTAGACTTAATACTGACTTTTGGTGTAAACATAGATAACTTAGCCATTCTCCCCCAGAGCACAGCAGTCTCTGACCATTACTTAATCTCTTACGAAATTCACTTTAGTGGTAATGTGCGTTCATCACCATGTTATTGTGTCAAGCGGACAATAAATCCCTCCACAGCTGGTGGCTTTATTAGAAACCTTTCTAAATTATCAGCCGCTCTCATCTGTCCATCTAATCCTACTGAGCTAGATGCTATGACCAAGCTCTTAGAGGATAGTTTTCGATCTACTCTAGATAGTGTGGCCCCATTAAAAAGTAAAATAGTAAGGCAGAAAAAACTCGCCCCCTGGTATAATGACAACACTCGGGCTTTAAAACAGAACGCCAGACAACTTGAGCGTAAATGGCGCCTGACTAAGCTAGAAGTGTTCCAGTCCGCCTGGAAGGAGAGCCTTACAGACTATAGACAAGCACTTGCTACAGCACGCTCAGCTTATCTCTCCTCTCTCATAGAAAACAATAAGAATAATCCTAGATTACTTTTCAGCACAATCTCTAAACTAACAGAGAACAAAACAGTTAGTGAACCCCAGATGCCATCAGCCTATAGCAGCAACGATTTTATGAATTTCTTTAGTGATAAAATTGAAAAAAATTAGGCAGAAAATTCAGAATACGCAATTAAACTCTAGAAACCTGCTTCCCCATAATGCCAGCCTCAACCTTGAAAATATTATAATTCCTGCAGAGAGGCTGGAATCGTTTACCTTACTCCAAGAAAATGAACTATTTAAAATAGTCTCTTCCGCGAAATCATCTACCTGTATGCTAGATCCGATTCCTACAGGTTTACTCAAGGAAATTCTGCCAGAAATAACCAAGCCTATTCTGTCAATAATAAACTCTTCTCTTAGCCTTGGGTACATCCCAAAATCTCTTAAACTAGCAGTAATTAGACCGCTGATTAAGAAAGCTAACCTCGATCCATGCGAACTTTCAAATTATAGACCTATCTCGAATCTCTCCTTTATATCTAAGATCTTGGAAAAAGTTGTAGCAAAACAGTTAAGCTCCTTTTTACATAGGAATCAAATACATGAAAAATTCCAATCTGGTTTTAGGCCACATCATAGTACAGAAACAGCACTAGTAAAAATTGTGAATGATCTATTATTATTTTCTGACCAAGATCATGTGTCCTTGTTGGTCCTCCTCGATCTTAGTGCGGCATT